GAAAGAGGAAAGAACGAGAGTTAGGGAGGAGAGGAATGAGAAAACAACAAAAGGAAAAATGAAGGAAGACAGAAAGAAAAATGAAAAGAAATACAGAAGAACAGAGACGGGAAAAGGAAGAGAATAAACAATGAAATAAAAAAGGTCAGAAGGAATGGCACAAATTAGTAACGGCAGATGTAACTTATGAGTAACGGGTCGTCCCTCCTACAGGTGCTGTGGTTCAGGGACTTCGGGGCCCCTCGTGAGTGTCTGGCGGACCCTTGTGGCGACCTCAACCTAAACCGCCGTCCAAGTGACCTTCTCTACGTCCCTTCCCAGCTCGACGGACGCTGCTACCAGATCGGACAGGTGAGTTGGGTGAGCTAGGTGATCTTAAGTGACGGTTGGTAGCCCTGTGTATCATAAATTGACGGTCCTGTTTATCGTATGTTAACAGTTGGTAATCCTGTCTACAGAGGAGCGAGGTGTGTGGGCCAGATATGTTGTACACCCTGGCGCTGGATACACTGACGGGTGTTTGTACCACCCTCGAGGACGCCGGCTATCTCGTCCTCGACAACGAGACTTTGACAATCTTCGAGGACTTCTACGGACCGTTCATCCCCAAGACCGTGAACGGGACCACCACACCGTCACGGCTCATGGGTTCTGAAGAGAGAGATTTCCCCGGTTTGCTACGAGGACACGGCCAACGAGACCAAGACCCGCGAGTTCAGGGCAAGACTACGCGAGGACAAGGCAGGTTAGACATGGCGACGGGGGGCATCTCCATACTGCAGGGATCTCACCTCAACACCTCTATAGTACCCGGGGCAGTGAATCCGCACCAGCTGCTCCAGAGCCCACCCCTCCCAGGCACCGTCGTGAAGGAGGTGATGACGAGGACGAAGAACCCAGCCACCGTGAGGAAACAACACGAGCGAGACAGAGAGACCCACGGCACAAGAGATCATCTGGGAGAAGGGAGGACTCCACAGACACCTCTTCATAGGTACTCAGGTTTAGCAGCTCCTCATAAGTATTTAGAACCTGGTGAGGGTGCCAGTGTTCTTGGAGAAATACTCACGGGGCGTCTGGTAGCAGAAGCGACTATTAGAGGACATGACAAATACGACTTCGACACACAAGACACTGGACGTGAGCTGAAGGCGGCCCTGACCAAGGCGCGGAAAGCTGAGGAAGGTAGCGGCCTGTCTACCTTTTACGATGGGTAAGTGACTGCACAAACTGGCTTCCTATTGTATTCTCAAAGATAAACAGACTGGTCCTGTGCGTGTGTGTGACTGGTGGTGGTGGACTGTTGTCAAAATGTTCTATTAATCCCAGTTTGATAGTCACAGTCACTGGGAGTAACTGTTCACAAGTGATAAAGTGTAAGTATTAATGATCCATAATTACCATAAATGTATATTGATTCTCATTGACAATAGGTCTTGGAGAGGTGGCTAACCAGTATCTCTGACTTCCTTTACCCAAAACACATATAAGTTTGGTCATATATTGAGACTACCTGAGACTTGCTTATCTACTTGTTTTATGAAGCCTCATTTTTTACGTTTTCTAGGTGAACAAACTTACTAAAATCTATACAAAACAAGTTGTAGGAAACTCAGTGCAAGTTACAACATCCTCCTCACACTACCTGAAAAACAACAGCAATAGTTATACCTGATCTATTCCCCTCAACCTACATACCACAAACATTAGCCAAATCAGAATCCCTTTCCGTCTTGACATTCGACCATATTTCTCAACTCTCTGAAAAACCAAACTTACAAATGACGATGAAAAACAAGATGGTGTATATCCTTGTTATATCTCTCAACCTTTCAGATACAGTATACTTAACGCCAGGTTGACTTGTTAACTGTTAAGAGGTTAGATAGAACCTTGAAGATAACTGTGTCTTGCCTTGACTTTTACTTACTAAATATGGAGTTTTGTGTTTACAGTGTGGAGATCCTGTTGTCACCCTTGTTGACTGAGGGACCACGACACCATCACCATCACCATCACCATCACCACCATCATCATCATCATCCTCGACCCAAGTCCATCACTGCCTTGAATCGGGGACCTACGCAAGTTCAGGGGTCTCCTCGTTTACTTCATCGAGCTGTGAGGACAATTCAGGAGCCTGTGCACTCACTTCACCAGGGTGTGAGGACAGTTCAGCGCCCCCTTCACTCACTTCATCAGTCCGCGAGAACAGGAAGAGCTCGCCGCCGTGTGAGGAGAGGGATGGCGCTGCCTCACTTCGTCCCTGGTAATATCTTCGACACTCGTCTCGTCACCTGTCGTTCAGGGGCGAGGCGGGACGTGAACGCTAAGTGCCGCAACACGTGAGTCTACCCAAGGCCTTCAGTCTCCCCTCACCCGTCGCTTCCTTCATCCATATTCCCCCTCACTCGTCTCTAACCCCACCTTTAATTTCCTTCACCCGTCATTACTCTCATCCGTCGCTATCTTCGCCCGTCCCTCACCCATCACTTCTCTCACCCTGTCACTTCCTTAGCCAGACAGTGACTCAGTATGTCACTTAATGTATCAAGGTTTAGTTAAGTTATTTTAGGTTAGGCTTAATCAGTCTCTCTCTCTCTTCTCACTATTTATGTCTAACCCTTCCTTCTCACTCTCTCCTTCACTGTCCTTCTCTTATTGCCCCTACTCTCCCTTATCTCTCTCTCTCACCGCTATACCTTTCCGTGCTCAGGATCCTGCCCTCTCGGTCACCAGAAGGGAGGAGTGCCACGGTGGGCGTCAACACTGCCAGGGGCGGGGCGCACGATGCAGGTCTAGACGCGAGGGTGGCGGCATCAGTGTTGCCTCGACCTAACTGCCCTCTGGTGAGTCATACTATTACTACGGTACGGTACTACTCCCACTACTACAATAACTACTGTAATACTATTCCTTCTACTACAACTACAACAACAACAACTACTGCTATTACTACTACTTCAACAACTACAACAATAACAACTACTACTATTACTAACATTGCTACTAGTACAGCAAACTACTACTACTAACACAACAACAACCTACTACTACTAAAAGTAACAATAATAAAAATAAGTCACTCACAACCAATCCAAACTCTAATACTATCAAAGTGTCTTTTGATTGGTTCTTCTGATCACTGTCTTGAAGTCTATCCTCGGCTCTTAAGTGCCTCTAATCAACTGGCACTCTGGCACCATGGCACACCTGATTGACTGACTGGCTGGCTGAATGACTGGCTAATTAACTGAGTGATTGACTGGATGACTGACTTAATTAACTGAGTGACTGATCAGCTGGCTGACTGAATGACTAGCTAACTAACTAAATGACTGGCTCATTGACTGAGTGAATGACTGGATGGCTGACTAGTGAATTGAATGACTGAATTAATTAACTGACTAAATGGTTGGCTTATTGACTGACTAATTGATTGATTGAATAAGTGAGTGAATGAATAAGTGAATAAGTGATTGAACGAGTGAGTGGGCGAGCGAGCGAGCGAGTGAGTGAGTGAGTGAGTGAGTGAGTGAGTGACTGAGTGAGCGAGTGAGTGAGTGAGTGACTGAGTGAGCGAGTGAGTGAGTGAGTGAATGAATAAGTGAGTGAGTGAGTGACTGAGTGAGTGAGTGAGTGAGTGAGTGACTGAGTGAGCGAGTGAGTGAGTGAGTGAATGAATAAGTGAGTGAGTGAGTGAGTGAGTGAGTGAGTGAGTGAGTGAGTGACTGAGTGAGCGAGTGAGTGAGTGAGTGAATGAATAAGTGAGTGACTGAGTGAGTGAGTGAATGAATAAGTGAATAAGTGATTGAACGAGTGGGTGGGCGAGCGAGTGAATGATTGAGTGATTGAATGAGTGAGTGAGTGAGTGAGTGAGTGAGTGAGTGAGTGACTGAGTGAGTTTGATCAGGTAACTTTCCACTTGGGGCTGACAACAATTCATAAGTTATTCTCCTTGTTGTAGAGGTGCCTGGTGCCTCAATCAGTTCTTATAAAGGCATCATGTGTCCCAGCCCTAACCTCCCTCCCTCCCCCCGTCAAAAGGGCAACGGAACACGACCATACCTCCTACAGACACTCAAAACGTCACCCTTCAAGATAAGAAAAATGACACCACGTATTTAACCCTTTCTGACCATGCTAACCACCTCAACCAACCATACTTACCACGCCACACACGTCAACTATGCCACACACGTCCTCACACACCGGTCCTTTAATCTCACAACAGTCACCACAGCACAGGATAAAGAGAGTCTAAATTCATCTCAATTAACATTCTTTACCTCAGTATCTACCTGTAGCAATCTCATCCACACCTGTATGATCATTGTTTTCTTCTACTACCTCTTCCTCCTCCTCCTCCTACCTCTTCCTTCTTCCTCCTCCTCCTCCTCCTACCTCTTCCTTCTCCCTCCTACCTCCTCCTCCTCCTCCTCCTACCCCTTCCTCCTCCTACCTCGTCCCCCTCACAGCAGTAATGCCCCCACCACTCACTCCTTGGCTGGTGACGCTGACTAGTGCTTAAGTTTACCCGACAGCTGAGTCATCCTGCTTGAACACTGACCACGAATCCTTACTACAACTGCTTACTACTACTACTACTACTACTACTACTACTACTACTACTAATAGTAATAATAATATAATAATAATAATAATAATAATAATAATAAATAAAAGTAGGTCACCACTAACACTTAACAATAAAGTTATATAAATTTTTGACCTCCTGTTGACCTCTTACAGGGTCAAGCATTCAGCCTCCTCCGGCAGTGTCGGGAGAGGTCAATTGCCATCAACTCTATCATCAGCATCAACCTGGGCTAACCTACATTATGGCACTGTTAGATGGCACTCTCCTGATTTAACATAGTCCGTTGGCACTGTCTCTCGGTTACGTCATAAGCAGAGTGACGTCACAATGCCGTCACCATAAGAGGCGTTCTGGGTAAATTTTGGCCAAACAGAAATTTATTTATTTACTTTTATTTATTTTTGATATGTATTATTTTATATTATCTTAAAAAATAAAGTTATTTTGAATAATTAGTGTGTGTCAATGTCCGTTGGATACTTGACACGAACGATAACATAACCCCATTTTCTTTGTTATCTGTGAGGTCATCAGTTGTTATGGTCCCTCCAGAAGGGTCAAATGAGGTCCCTGGCTGTTCTTACTTACCTATAACACCTGACCTCATCATAATCTAACCAATCCATCTTAATTATACGTCCCTGGTAATTGACGATTGAAAAGATCAGTGTTTTTAAAAGTTTTAATTTAATCTCATAAAGTATTTCTAAAAGTTTATTTGATTTAAGTGTTGGAAGACTAATAGATTGGAGAGAAAGTGTTGTTAGCGTTGATTATATTTATTAAAGATCTGATAGTGTAACAGGGTCGTGAGGGGACCAGACATGCAGGGAGGAGGAGCAGGAGGAAGGAGGAGGAGGAGGGAGGGGGGAGGAGGAGGGAGGACGAGGAGGAGGGAGGAAGGAAGAGAGAGCAGGGAGAGGGAGCCTTGTGTAATGTAATATGCAAATGAGGGGAGGTATCACACACTTACAATACAAAATTATTATCGATCGAGTTATTGTCTTCTACACCTTATTAGTATTACCTCTATTACAAAATTATTCTCTCTTGTTGTATTATTCTGATCTATTAAATGTATTATACAGTATAATAGCTGCAATACGTGTAGAACTTAACTTAATGTAACTTAACCTAACCTCACTTGCTTTTAGGAACGACAGAGAGAGAGAGAGAGAGAGAGAGAGAGAGAGAGAGAGAGAAGAGGTGGTGGTTATGTCACTTTTGTCTTACGTAATGTTCAAGTGAGGAAAGACATTACACAGACACACACACACACACACACACACACACACACACACACACACACACACACACCGGTTATTAAGCCACCTCCTGGAGCTTCATCACCTTCCTTCCTTCCTCCTCCTCCCCCTCCCCCTCTCCTCCACCCTCTTCCTCCAGGATCATTGACCTAAGATAATCCAGGTCAAAGTGCATGTTATTGGGGTTTGTAAAGCACTGTGTATTAGTGGCACTGTGTATTAGTGGCACTGTGTATTAGTGACACTGTGTATTAGTGGCACTGTGTATTAGTGGCACTGTGTATTAGTGGCACTGTGTATTAGTGGCACTGTGTATTAGTGGCACTGTGTATTAGTGGCACTGTGTATTAGTGACACTGTGTATTAGTGGCACTGTGTATTAGTGGCACTGTGTATTAGTGACACTATATACTACTGGAACTGTGTATTACTGGCATTCAGCAAATCACCCCTCATAGATACATACATACATACATACATACATACATACATACATACATACATACATACATACAGGCACACAATCATACACACAGACGCAAATATAAATATACATGCAAACACACACAATCACACAATCATACATACACAGGCACAATCATACACACACAGGGACAATCATACACACACCCTATCATAGACACACTCAATCATACATACAGACACGCCCGATCATACATACAGACACACAGACACGCCCGATCATACACACAGACACGCCCACAAAGGAAAGCAACTATGCCGAACACGCTGTCAAGTAACTCCTCATTGGGAATAAATAAACACTGAGGTTCCATTGTGACCTAAACAATACACTGATACCTTGTAGCTGATGGCTTGTTGTAGTGAAGTTAATGGTGTAGTGAAGTTAATGGTGTAGTGAAGTTAATGATGTAGTGAAGTTAATGATGTAGTGAAGTTAATGATGTAGTGAAGTTAATGATATAGTGAAGTTAATGGTGTAGTGAAGTTAATGATGTAGTGAAGTTAATGGTGTAGTGAAGTTAATGATGTAGTGAAGTTAATGATATAGTGAAGTTAATGGTGTAGTGAAGTTAATGATGTAGTGAAGTTAATGGTGTAGTGAAGTTAATGATGTAGTGAAGTTAATGATATAGTGAAGTTAATGGTGTTGTAGGGAGTATTTTTTAGTTAATATTCGGTTAATTTGTTTATGTTAACTTAATCATTAAAGGATTAACTTGTGATATAGTGAAGGCTATCGATGTTTCAGTTTTTGTGTAGCTGAAGAATTTGTGCTGGAACAGTGACTCTCATTTAAGGAGGGAGGTCTGGGGTGGAAGGGTGGGAGGTAATAAAATAAGTGAAGAAGTTGGGTCAGTAGATGAGGGGGGGTAATGTGATGTGGTGGGGAGGTGGTGACTGCTTGCTCCCACCTCTTCCCCTCCTCCAGCCTAATACCCCTCCCTCCTCCATTGCCTCCCCCCCCTTTATCTCTTGTCTTGAGTCTTGGATTAGTCAACGTTATAAGCTTGATTTACCTCTCCTTCCCCCTCCTCACTCCACCTCCTTTCCTCAGCCTACCCCCCCCCCTCTCCTCCTCCATCTGTCTCCCCCTCCTGCCCGCCCCCTCTCTAAAACTTGATATGTTTAAGACTCATATCCTGGAGTCACTTTCAACCTACCTAAACCACCACACACACACACACACACACACACACACACACACACACACACACGGACGGATTCTCAGATATTCCTATGGCAGAGTCTTCCCTTCCCTCCCCTTCCTCCTTTCCATTTCCTCCTTCAATCACCCACTTCCTCTCCCCTCCTTGCTTCCTCCCTCCCATAGTGAACTAGTTACTGGGCTCTTACAATTAAGAAGAAAAAAAAAAAATACTTACGACCATGAAAACCATCATAGCACTTAGGGTAAAATGAATTCTGATCCTTTTTTAGAATTCATCAATATTTACTTATTTACAAACTTTTAAAGGATTACCAATACTCTGTCTTAATATTTACATAGCCAAAATTACTTACACAATTTTAGATCGTTAAGTGAATCAGACGAAAGAGTTCACACATTGGATTAAAGACAAGTTAAGTCGTGTCAATCTGTCCCACTTATACCTCTCTCTCTCTCTCTCTCTCTCTCTCTCTCTCTCTCTCTCTGCCTGTCTGTATGTATGTATGTATGTATGTATCGTCAACAACACAAGATAGCATCAAAGTTAGCACAAAGACTCTACAATAAGTTATGATGTAGGAGTCTTACTTTTATACTTTCGTGAGGTAAAAAGTTCATAAGGGTCAGTACTTTTATACTATCTTGAGGTGGAAAGTAGGAGACATGACGTGAGTTTAAGAATAACGAAACAAACAGAATATATATTTTTACATACTTTCCCGCGGGTGTTTGTGAAAGTAGATGACAGTACGAGTTACTGTGTGAATACTGGACATACTTTTGTCTTCTTTTCTTCTCACTTTAAGGAACACGGATCACCTGAAGATTAGACACCCTAGTTTATTTCACCTGAAGCTTAGAAACTTTGATGCTACCTGGGGGGGGATTAGGTTAGGTTATATTAGGGTTAGGTTAGGTTATATTAGGGTTAGGTTAGGTTAGGTTAGGTTAGGTTATATTAGGGTTAGGTTAGGTTAGGTTAGGTTATATTAGGGTTAGGTTAGGTTAGGTTAGGTTAGGTTAGGTTAGATTAAGTTGCATTAGCATAGGTAAGGTTTGGTTAGGTTAGGTTTGGTTAGGTTAGACTGGGTTAAGGATTTTTGGTTAGGGTAGCATTATGTTATGTTAGGTTAAGTTGCATTACCGTTAGAGTCGGTACGGTTTGGCAAGGTGAGGGTGGTTAATCCTCAGGTGACCTGGGAAGATAAATTCCATAATTACAGGTGTTTGGGAAACCGGACCTGACTGTAAATATTATGTAATTTATTAATATTTGTGAAAAACGGGATATTTTTTTTTTATAATTAGAATTTTGAAATACTTTGTTGTCTCACCATAAAGTACCAAAAGTTCGACGTATCAAAAAAGAAAAAAAAGAAAAGGAAAGAAATAGAATTGAAAAGAAAAAAAGAACCAAAAAGAGAAGAAAATTTGATAAAGGCGTCAGATCAACCAAAATTATATATATATATAAAAACACATCGGAGAGCTGTGGTCGCCAACCCTCAGACATAAAGATATCAATTAAACTGACTAATTATAGATACAGATTATACATTATATAGAGATTAGTACAGCATATAACACAGATATAACTTATAAGTGTCCTAACTGAATCTAAAACTCGGTAAACACTTTATAAGTTACTAATAAGACCAAATTACAAGTGCATTACTGGCGAGTCACTTTATGAAGTATAAGGTAAATATCAATTAATCACTGAAAGGTATGAGTATCATGTCTTAGGGTTGGCCACCACGACCCTCCACTTCTAAGCGTTTTTTTGCTTTCATCATCAGTCGGACCGGGTATTCAATCTCTCCTGGGACGACAACTTTCATTTTCATTCATCCATCTATCAGCGCCTCTGCTTTCCCCTGGCACTCTTACCTCCAGCTCTTCTCCTTATCTCCCTCTTATTCAGCAAAAATTCAGTATTTATAGTATTGTTTTAGACAGACTTTGTATTTCTTTATTTTTCTATTACTTTAATTATTATTTTGTTTATATTCTCTTGTAGCAACATGTTTCAAATGCCTCTAACACTTCGTAGTATTAATAATAAAAAAAATAAAAAAAAACTCCCCTTCCACCCACTCATAACCCGGGCCGTCGAGGGTAGGGTTGGTAAGACTGTCTGTTCCCCACTGGTGCATTATGGTTCGTCCTACTCGTATGGTTGGTATGACGGAGGTACAGTACATTTGTCTATTAACACTGGCGCCAACACGTGAGTCTGGTAGAGACAAAACAGCTAAAAGGTGCTACTTACGTGTGTGTGTGTGTGTGTGTGTGTGTGTGTGTGTGTGTGTGTGTGTGTGTGGATAATAAAACAATGTTGGAGGCAGCATTATATCCTGTCTTACTCCCTGTATAAACACTAACGCCACGAGTTCATTATTGTCCAAACACTACAGCCTTCCTCCCTCTTGATGCCAGCAGAGATTATTTACCATTTATATATCCTCACTAGTAATACCT